TTTATTTTTTGATGTTTTTGACACACATCAACAAGAACAATTGAAAATCAATAAACAGCAAGATTATTCAGTTTCTGATAATAGTGAAACTTTTTTGAAAATTTTGAAACATTTTTATAATTTGGAAAAGAATCTAACTTCTCTATTTAAAAATGAAATATCAAATATTATAGTGCGATATTTACCAAAAAGTTCTTATGAGAATAATTACCGGAATGATATTTGTAGTATTATTCGTTATATGCGTTCCATATCTCAACATTCATGGTATGAACAATATGCTTTAAGGAAATTCTTAGAATATTTACAAAATCTCGACTATTCACACATTACGGAAGATTATTATCATCGAAAGAAACGAATGACTGATGATTTAGCATGGCAAGAAGGTATGTCAACTATTACATTTAAAAAGTAAATTACTTAAAGAGTATTATTTGTCAAATTGCTTTGACAAATTATATTTTATTTTATATAGTTATTAGTTCTTATATATCTTTTGAGCCAGTAGTTACGTAAAAGAAATACATTTGATTCTTCATTTGACATTTTTATAGTAAATATAAATTAATGTAATGTAATTCGAGATATATCTGTTATTAATGTATTTAAAATAACATTACATTACAGATGAAATATCAAATACGTTAGAAGAAGACAATAATGACTTATTAGAAATATTGAAAAAAATTTTCCAGAAAATGGAAATTCTTACTCTCTGTATTGATAGACTTCATGAACGATATCTTATTCACAATAAACTTGATGATGATTACGTTTCAAGTGAATTTCCGATAGAAACTGAAGAACATCGCAAATCGTAGATTCGAGAATTATATAGAAAAAGTAAATTGACAAAATGTACAAGTTTCTCCTATTTTTTTGTATGATATACGTATTTCTTTCTTTCTGCTTGTTTGTTAATTCAATACTTTATATAAATGATAAATAAATAATTTGTAAAAATATTATAAAATTTATTTGTACTAATTATTACATAGAAACTATTATTGCAAAAATTACTGTTGCTACAATTAATGTGAATATACGGCGTTTATATATAAAACACAATTCAATTGTTTTTCTATCGCAATGCGTTGCATACTTAATACGCAATGTGCTCACGAAATTTGTTCGTAAAATCTGATATTAGATATTTGACAAAAGCATGCTATAAAATAATTAGTGCATTGCTCGTATGCATAAGCCTTGAATTTATTCATGCTAATTTCTTACGATTTATACGTAGTTGCGTTAATGCGATAACGCCTCCATGCGTTGACCGAATGACGATTGCAATTGGTTGTTTGGTGATTATGGAATTGAAAAAGTAGGTCAGACTCATATATATTTAAAATAAGTTCTTGATTATACTGAAAGTGCACAATCTTTCCTCTCTTTCATATTTTTTCCACTTTAAAATCAATTTTAAATTGACGTTGTATTTACTCCTACAAGTAATGTTTTAAATAAAGCAATAAAATTTAATTAATTATTTATTAATTATTTATTAATTTAATCATACTATATTTAGCAATATGTTTAGTTTATTTCGTATTGGTAGTTAAGGCATCAGTGCTGTCAGTCATTAAAAGCATATGGAATAACATATTTTGCAAATTGCACTGTGTATTGCACAAAAAAAATTGATAATTCATTCAGCAATTTCAATATCCAAACTGATTGAAAATGGAACGCTGCAAAAATCGTAAAATATTTAAAGTTACTTAAATGAAATTTTAAATAAAATGTAAACGAATAATAATCTTTATTCCCTGATATAAAAAATACAATTATAATAAATTTGACTATTGGGGATTAACACTGTACTATGTGCGCAATAAAAATTTCAACATTATTAAATTATATCTTACATATTTAATTACTAATTTGTATACATGTTTCAGCTAATTTTTTAGCCATCTTCAGTACATACAAATGACTCTATGTAATTAAATAAGCGATGAGCATAAGACGTATAAAACTACGGCATCTGTTTTTCATTATTTTAGTATTCGCAATGTTTCTATGTGAGGTGGTATAAATAAAATATACCTGCTGATCTTATCAAGATTGTTGTTGAGTTGCGCTTCTTTATTAATGTCAGCACTCAGCCAATCACGTGCTTAATCGCGCGGTGACCTTACACCTTACAGTTTCGTGAAACATGCAAGATCGACCACGACAGTTCGATCAGTATTTCGATCGCCGGACGAGCATTCCAGCAAATTGCCTTGTAAATCACGTCTTGCACGCCTCTTGTTAAATTTATGAATCACACGCGAGCCTTCGTGATCGACGATCGATGGAGAGTTTTCCTCGTCGAAACAAAAGGCGACGCGATTGTTGTAAATAAAATTGGCACGACAATCCGACACGCGCTTTCTTACTGCTATAAACAGTACAAACGTTGCAAGACAAGGTGCGATGCACTTGGCGTGCAGGTGGATACGTTTCTATGACTGTCCTACAAAATACTGGCAACACGACGATAAATTTTCGGTCGCTTTCGTGCACAAGCTGCCGGATGCGCCTCCTTTGTAACTTGCGTAGTTAACATTTCGAGCTTGATGGAAGTTTTCGAGCTTCGACGAAGAAGCAATGTCGCGATGCCGAGCACGTGATAACAGAAGAAATAACAGAAGAAACAAGAAAATTTCTTATAAGAATTGTGAGAGAAAGCCTTGATATTTAAACGTAATTTTGTAGGAAAAATACAGTACAATTTTCAGATATACATATATACTTTGTATAGCCACATTACTTTTAAAGATCACTAAAAAAATAAGTAAGATTATAGTTATATATATTTTTATACTTCTATTACATGTTGTTAAATATATCATGATAATACATATTTTTATTATGATACTAAAGTGTCTTACAGTAAGTTGTTTTTAATCTAATCGATATTTAAAAGCAATTATACAAATAATGAAGGAAAAACGATAAAAATTATTAATTAGAAATATGTTAAGAAGGACTATGAATCATAAGAATAAAACTAAAATATAAATACTAAGCAAAATATATTAATAGGCGCAAAATACAACAAATTAAAAGAAACGTTTCGACTCCAATTAGGTCATTCTCAATGTTAAATATGTAATATCTTTCAATAAAATATTTGTATAAACATATTTAAAATATCAACGACTTAATATTAAAAGTTAATAACAAGAGATATAGACTTCTATTTGATGTAAAAAATGATATAATTGCATCCTGTGGTTATCGCATTCTGTTATACGCACATTGACAATGGTAGAAATTGTAAATGTGTATGTCTCTTGAATATACAACAAGATATTATTTAATATCAATGCGATAACCACAGGATGCAATTATATCACGATTTTTTACATAAAACATGAGAAGTCTGTGAAAAGAAAAGTATCAAAGTTATTAAAAATATAATTGCATAATAATTATTCTCTGACGATTATGATCAAAGAGGATTGGATAGGGCGTACATGTATTTCGAATAAAATCACCTGCTGAAGGAATCAACTCGAATTGGACAATAAGTTATTGAAAATCCTTCTTGAACGATTATCTGATAACTTTTTAAAACTCTTAAAACTCTTACTATCACTAAAACTATTATTTTTGTTTCAAACATTTTTTAGATAAATCAATACTTTTTGAGATATTAGCTGTTTGAGAACTTTTACTATGCACTATGATACTAAATTTCTTGGAATCTGTGACCTATATGATCTTGCCTTTTTTTTTAATTTACATGCATTATGATAAACTTAGAAATAAGAAGAAAACTTAATACTTTTAAAAAATGATTCTTTGGAAAGAAATAATGAATAAGTAATAACCAAATTAATCGTTTGTTACAATAAAATAATATAAAATAACCAAATTTATCGTTTTTTCTTCATTATTTGTATAATTGTTCAATAATGTAATTAATATAATAATTTTAGTACTAATTAATAAAAAGATGTTATATTAGATTCTTTCCATAAAGCATACACATACACACACACACACACACACACACACACACACACGCACACACACATACACACACACATATATATTAAAAGAAATTAATTAACATTATTCGCGTGAAACGGAATACACCACTGGACTACACCCTACCTGTAATATGAATTATGAGAGAAATATAGCCGTTAAATACGGTGAGAATGTGGCTGTGAAGACAGTAATTCAGCATCAGACTCTCAAAATAGAAAGCAATATATGGAAAAATATATCATATTCATTTAAGGATCTTCCGCTCTATCCAATCCTCTTTGATTATAATAATCTTTCTTACGTTCGTAAATTATTTGTTGCAAATTCTAAAATTTATGAATAATGAAAAAAAATTTCAAGAAATTATTGGAAAGAAAAACAATAAGAAGAATGAACACAATAATTTTGGAAATTAAAACATTTCTTTGCAGTAATTTCTAAAAATGTTGATTTACAAACAAATTTTTTTTATTTTATTATTTTATGTGAATATATATATATATATATATATATATATTTATATATATATAGAATAAAACGAATATTTAATTTCAGCGCATGTAGGTCAATTAAAATAATTGCGGGGTTTTCAGATGAAGCATTTCATGTAACCCATATTCGGCGATAGCATGAGACCAATTTTTTACTTCAATAATCTCGTGATTGCGAAATAAATATATATACTATGAAGAAAGTATTCAACAAACATTCCCGTAATGTTTTTCGAATCAACGGGGGAAACTTGAACAGATCGTTGATATGACTGCAGTAAAAAATTATAAAAGATTGCCTCAGATCAGACATGTAACGTTACAAAAGCTGGTGTTATAAGATTATAACTGAATTTTGTATTCAATTACAGATTTGTTTGGGAATTTTTAAAATTTACGATATTGATATATGAGAATCTATATTTGGAATAGATAGAAAGAAACGATGCAAATTAGAATGCTTTGAAAAGTTTCCGGATAATATCCTGAAAGGGAGTCAGATTCAGACTATGTGTAAGGTTTATAAATTTTGCTGGTAATGCTCAGCAATGAGCTGACTAATAGAACGTCTAGTCGCGTCTTCGAGGCGATCGAAGTTCAACCAGCTAGCTTTGTATTCAAATCTCAAGGAACGTGGTAAAGTAACCACCCTATGGCAGAGCATTTTCTGCTTTAGTAGTGGCAGCACGTAGGTTTCGTAGTGGGGATGCTTCGAAGGCTTAAAAGGCCTTCCAACGTCCTTGTAACACGCAGTCTTGGAATCAAACATACTAGTATTCCGCGTAAGTGGATCGAAAGTGCGAAGAACAATCTCATCTAACTTTGCCGCAAGTTTGGTCTTTCATCGGAGTGATCTAGTGTAAATTGTAAGCCGAGATTAATTCGTTAGAAAGACAAAGGGAATAGTTTGAGGTAAAAGCATCGAGGTGAAGAAATTAAAAATCTAAGCGGAAAAGGAAGTGATTTTTTTTCTCAAAAAATCTTTGCTAAAGTTTTGATTTGTGATTTGTGATCATACAAGTGGTAATAATTAAATATCATTTGCGTAACCATCGAGAAATTGCGTAACCATAAGAAGTGAAATGAGTCTCCAAATAATTTTGTCTGTTCTGTTAATCGTATCAATCTTTTTGCCACCGATGTCCGCTCCTCTCACAACTTTTGGGAAGAGTAATACACAGAATCAGAACTCGAATCCACCGCCACCACCTACACCAAGTATGTAATAAATAAAAATTAAAAATAATATATTTGTAACATAATGCTTTTAAATAGTTATATTTTAAAGATAATTATTAAATAACAATTTATAACATATTTTCATATTAATTTTATTTTTTATAATACAGTTCAATCTAAACTCTATTTTAAGATAGATTTATAGTTAGTAGATAGAGAGATCTTAATGTATGTAATGAGTCTGTTATGTTATCTAATAACGTAATATTGAGAAAACAAAAATGCTAATTTATTCTCTATATATCTTTTATTCCTTATTTTATTAATATGGATCTTTTAGAATTTTTCAAGAATTATAATTCAGCTGCTCTTAAAATTAGACAAAAATACTCATTACAAATAATATTTCTATAGTTACTGTATGTACACAAACTTAATTATATTGTAGATATTATATAAAATGTAATTTTTATTAGGCGTTAACTGTATCAATGCGCAAATTATGATACTATTATTCCAGCATATTTCAAAACTGTAATTACGAGCACGTTTTATAAGCATTAATCGACATTTATAGAAATATACAAATTAATATCTATTAATCAGTCACTGCTTAAAATTGTGTAGATTTAAAAAATGTAATGCTTAATTGTCAAAGTTGAACCGCGAAGTGCAGATGAATACTAATGGTTTACTAAATGTCAGACTTCTAATCTCTCTGCATAGTTTTCAAAGATCATTATAACCATTATTTTTACGTTATTTAAC